AAATTGAAAACCCAGGAATTTCCAACACGACGGTTGAATGTCGACGTGGTGATAGCCAGACTTCAGGTCGATTGAAAACATCCAATTGCCTGCACGCGCCAACTCTGCGACACGACTGAGTCCCTCGTACTTGAATTCGGGAATTTGCAGCTCCTGGTTGACCTTGCGTAGATCGAGGATGAGACGACATTTGTCGTGCTGTTCCACAATGTTGACAGGGCTGACGCATGTGAGCGTTGATTCTGGCACCTTTGCTGCAGCGCCGGTTTGGAGGAGATCCGCGATGGCGGACTTCGTAAATGCCTCGTGAATTTGGGCCCCCGCATGATTGGTGCTCCGGAAAAAATGTGGGGGCCCTTGTTTCCAAGGCATCTAGTAGCCTCTGTCAATGACTGATATGATCAAGCTACTGGTGCACCACGAACGCCACCACGGTAGTGCGTCTCGCAGGCGCCTGCGCATGGTTGAGACCGTCCGGTCCGTCACTGCGTTTTCAAAGGGATCACCAAGCCCTGTAAGGTCATATGTGAGTAGTTCTACAAATGGAATCCAACAAAAGAATGGGGTAAGGTCCGTAAATGCTGGGTAGAGTGAGCGCGAAGTCCACCAACGTGATCGTGAGCTCTTTTTTTTTTTTTTTTTTTTTTAAGCCAGGGATGTATCCGTGAAGGCCGGTGCCTGATATGATACGAATGTAAGGGACTAGGGCAATGTGTATCTGGCCCGGCAGCCGGTCGCATGCTGCGCTACCGCGCGCGCACTTTCGATGTTGCTTTCTCACGTTCGGGCTCTCTCACACTTTCTCTTTCTCTCTCTCTCTCTCTCTCTCTCTCTCTCTCTCTCTCTCCTCTCTCTCTCTCTCTCTCTCTCTCTCTCTCTCTCTCTCTCTCTCTCTCTTTCTCTCTCTCTTTCTTTCTCATTCTTTCTCTCTCTCTCTTACTCTCTCTCTCGCTCTCACTCTCTTTCTCTCTCTCTCTCTCTCTCTCTCTCTCTCTCTCTCTCTCTCTCTCTCTCTCTCTCTCTCTCTCTCTCTCTCTCTCTCTCTCTCTCTCTCTCTCTCTCTCTCTCTCTCTCTCTCTCCCCTCTCTCTCTCTCTCTCTCTCTCTCTCTCTCTCTCTCTCTCTCTCTCTCTCTCTTTCTCTCTCTCTTTCTCGCTCGCACCATCTTTCTCTTGCGAAGCATCGCATGTTTCAGTAAGCCAAATCCCTCCAATGGCTTGTCAAAGAGCGTGTGATGGGACGGAAGCTAAGGCTAGTTATGTACCTTGCCCTAGACCTTGTAGGCCCAACAAAGTGTTTGGTTTCATGTGCCTTGATGTGGCCGCACCCATTTTTTGGTCGTGCCTTCTTCTAGGTTAGGCTTGGATGGCAAGGGCGCCCAAGATAGGTTCCTAGGCTCCAAGAACGGAGCTGCCTTGTGAGGTCCCAAGGCATTGTGAGGCCTTTTTTCAGAGTGGGGTTCTCAATAATATTTTAAGAAATGAGATCAACAAGAATTGAAAAGGTTGGCCCATGAGCTTCGAGTCTCGAGCCTTGGCCACTGTCCAACAGGGATTCTATCTTTTAAAAAGATGATGAAACGAAAAGAACCGGCACCTCCAAGGGTGCCACTACCGAGGCAGGTCAAAAATGTTGTCTCCCCCCTTGGGGCTTGGCCCATGGCCTATACTCATACCCTCTATCGGGTTTGGCCAGCGGCCTTTTCATTCTAATTCCCAGCGAGGGAATGGCCAGCGGCCCTAAGCACCCCATGGTGCAGTGGCACCTACTCCGAAGTCCACAAAAAAATCCTCATTTACTTTTCACACAAGGGGTGCGGGCCCTTGTGACCCGCTCCCATTTCCAGTGCAGTTGTTTGCCATGTGGCCCAGCTGGCCACAGTGAAAGCAAGCGCCTCGGAAGCCCCTCTGGGCGCCGCTCGGTGGAGGGTCAAACTTCCCTCCAAAGCCCATAGGGCCGCGGCCTCCAACGGGATGGCCACGGCCATAGGAGCCTTGCGCGCGTTTCATTGCCGCAACGTCTGCAACTGCTTGCTTGAAGGGGCGTGAGGTGAGGACACTCTTCTCTTGGTAGAGCTTGAAGTGGTGTGCCGTCTTGAAGTCAGAGGCGTCGGCGACTTGGAGGAGTTCGAAGCACTTGGCGATGAGCGCGTACGCCGCCTCGAAGTATTCGAGCGAGCTCGATGTGTCGCCGTGGTGCACCTTGTGCTCCGCGTGCTTCAGGTATGCTCGCAGGTCTTCCAGGAACTCGGCTTGCTCGCGTACCCCAGCGTTGTTGAACGATGATGCCGGGATGGTTGGGTTAGAGAAAGGAAGAGGTGGGAGGTGCTCGGTGGGTGCGAAAAAAATTGTGTGTGTATGAGCCTCACCAGCCTCGTTGTCGGAGTCACTGTCTTCCTTGGCATTGTCTTGCGTGGCAGCGGCGAGCTCCTTCTCGACGCGGGCGGTCTTGGAAGGACGAACGTAACGCGACGACTCCTTTTTTGCTTCAATTTTAGTCGAGGCAGAAATTGTAGTCGCAGCTGCTGTAACCGTGGGTGTGTTTTGCTGTAACAGCGCCAGCAGTGCCGCCACTTGCTCGTTGGTCAAAGCAGGGGCGGCAGGTGTTGGCGCGCTGGACGAGGCCGCCCCGTGGCCTCGCTTGTTCTGACGCGCGGGGCCCGCTCTGCCGTTCGGCGCCTTCTGCGCGCTGGCGTCAGCAGGAGACGCGCCATCCGCAGCGTGCGTCTCCTGCTGCTCGCTGGCGCGTGGCCCACCAAGCTCAACTTGGTGGACCTCGCCACTGCGCAGCAACACGTCGAGGGCAGAAGGGGCTAGGTCGCCCTCTGCCCGACGCTTGTTGCCGCGATCACCCGCCATTTTACGGGCGTTTTTCTCGGGTTCCGAATTATTCGGAGTGTCGACGGCCGGATTTTCAGCACGATTGGCCGGGGTGCTAGGAGGGGCCATGGCTGCCAGGTTATGCGTGGGGATATCTGCGATAAGCTGGGAGGGTGCTTCCCCGCGAGGGAGAGTTTTCAACTTCGCCAGAGTGGCGGAGCGAAAAAGGCAGGATGGGAACTCAATTGAACTTGAGCTGGGAAAAATGAAAAGCATGGGTGGAGGAAGAATGACCTCCAACCCCATTATATGGTTGGAGAAGAGCGAATAGCGCGCTTCGACGATGCATTAGATTGCGTTACAAGCAGCTTCGCATTCACAATACACAATTTTGAAAGTGTGAACACTTTAAAACTTTTATATTTTATGCGAACACTGAGTTCACAGGGGTTACGGCATATCGACCCTAAATGCAATGTCCATTGTGTCAAGATTATATAAGTAATATATAATTGATAGGCTTGATAGTTGTTACTGAACCTTTCTGTAGAGAGTACAATCCCCTCCTTGTACCCCTCTCTCTTCCTAATCGATTCTCTTCTTTCTCGACACTTTTCTCCCCACACTCTTAGATCTACTTTCCGTCTGCCATTCCATGGCGGCCTCCTAGTCTCCTAGCTTCCTAACTAAGCTAGTGTCCTAAGTTTTGAGATGGTATCAGAGCAGGCCGTTACTGGGCCTGCTCCCTGCGCTTCCGCTGCGTGTTTTCACCGTTCGCGTATGTGCCGCCGTCGCGGCCCTTCGGTACCCTGCCGCCGTGGCAGCCACTTGTTATCCTGCCGCCGTGGCGGCCTTCTGCTGTCGCGCCACCGTGACAGCTTCTCGTCTTCGTGCCGCTGTGACGGCCGTTACGAGATGCCGCCGCGGGCTCATGGTGCAGCCGTCGCTTGTCCGCCTCGCCGCTGCGGCATTGACGTCGTGCTGTGGCGGTGTCTAGGGCAGCCGACGGCATCGTCGGGCTACGGCCGGCCGAGCGACCTCTGTGGCGCCGCCGGACCTGCCGCCCGCTCGACAGCCACGGGCGTCACTCAAAACGCCGTCCTCCCGCCTGTAAGCGCCGCGCCATTTATGGCGCGTCGCTGAAGACTTGCCTCGCCCCCCCCCCCCCCCCCCCCCCCCCCCCCCCCCCCCCCCCCCCCAATTCTCCCTTCCCCCTGCGTCTTCCGTTCCTCCTGTCGCAGCTGCTGTCTTCTGCCCAGACGTTGCCACACCGCCGAGAGCCCTCAGCCGCGGCAGTCGCCGCCTGCCGTCAGCGACACAGCCGCCTTGAGCCAAAGCTCCGCCGCTGCTTGTCGCTGAGCCGCCCAGACGCCGTCGGCTGCCTCTCGCCTGGGGGTGTCAACGCTTAGCACGAGGGTCAGATACCCGGCTAAGCACGAGCTTGAGAGTGTGCGGGGTTAGGGGGTGTGTTGGGTGGGTGTGTGACTATCAAGCCTAGGGGGTGTGTCAAGATTATATAAGTAATATAGGCTTGATAGTTGTTATTGAACCTTTCTGTAGAGGGTACAATCCCCTCCTTGTACCCCTCTCTCTTCCTAATCGATTCTCTTCTTTTGTCGACACTTTTCTCCTCACACTCCTAGATCTACTTTCCGCCCGCCATTCCATGGCGGCCTCCTAGTCTCCTAGCTTCCTAACTAAGCTAGTGTCCTAAGTTTTGAGACATTGCCCCTACTAGTTTCCTCGAAATTACCCCCAAAATACCCCGCCTCAAAACCCATCAATGCGACAAACACGCGTCACGTGAAGAATCTCTACTCAGCAGCATTCCCGCTCACCTTTACCTGTATCCTGCCAGCGACGGCTAGGGGCGGGCGTGACGGCGGCTAGGGCCTAGGGCGGAAGTGTGGGCCGGCTAGGGGGGGGGCGAACCTACTATGATACCATATCAAAATGAGTAGTGAGTAGAATAGAAGGATACAGGGGTATAAAGACTAGGGGTTGTACCCTCTAAAGCGCAATCCAGTATAGTCTACAGTAATTACATACCGTAAGTTACATTTGACAGCTTTTACTTTATAGTGAAAATATGCTTGTAATGGAAAGGACCTTGGTTGCTCGCAAGAAGACATGCATGCAGCAGAGAGATGATTCATGTTTCTAGTCTCTTAGAACGCACCAATATATCGTATTGTTACAGATTGACTATAACATTGGTGCATGTACTGGATAAATCTAGGTGACACCCATATTATTGCCCCTACTCATGTAAACCCAAGCATTCTAGTCAACCTCTTATTTCACCAGTACCATGATCCCATCCCATCCTACCACACTAGACCCCTCCAGCCATATAAAGAACCAAACTATTTTCAAGCTTCAGCTTCCTGACCCTGCTCCATCGAACGAGCACTATCGAAGACACTCCGGGGGCTCAGCAGATCCTCCATACAAGCATGCTCGTTACCAGCTGTCCCTAAAGCAACCTGTTCACTAAAGTCCATCTTCGGGATCGAAAGCCGCTGCTGGTGCTGCTGCAGCTGCGAAGGCACTTGCTGCTGCTTCTGTTCTGCTTGCGGCTTCTGCTGCTGCTGCTGCTGCTGCTTCTTTACCAGCTTCTTCTCCTGCCGCTCCTTGACCCTCTGCTGCGCCTTTTCCTGCAGCAGTGCCGCCTGCTTGGAGCGCTTCTCCTGCTGCTCCCTCCGCCGTCGCACCTCCGCCGCCTTCCGCTTCAACTGCTCGTACCGCTTCGGAAGCCTCTTCCAGTAGGGCACGTCAGCGCCAGCTGGTTGCGGAGACGCTTCCTGCAAGCATACGCGATAGAGTAAAGTGCCATTGGTGACGCGATTAATCAGGCCGTTGTGGAACAAGATGTAAGAGTTACGCATCAGGAGCCGGTTATAAAGACGACTGGTCTACGAGCGGATCGAGTAGTACGCTCATTTGATGAGAGAAAGCAGGCTCGAATCGGCACGTACCTTCGCTGCTGCCACCTTGGGTTGATCGTGCCCGCCGAAGAGCCTTGCGAAGCCCTGAAACGCACGCCGGACGGGTTGCCGACGAATTAGCGACGGACTAGCGACGGATTAACGACAGTCGCAGACATCGGCCATTGGAGATCCATCAGAAGTTGCGAGAAAAAGGACACAGCATGGCGCGAAAAATGCGACGGAAATGGAATGACGATCTCCCGTCTCACCATGCGCGGTGCTCCCCGGCGAAACTCTCGAGGCCTGTCAGAGATCCCGGGTCGTGGCGCTCGTTTGCCGCAGTTAGCAGCGGGATGCGCTGCTTGGCGCGCTCGGGCTCCGCCGAGCTCTGGCTGAATAAAGACCTTTAGGTCGCCGACGCACGTGGTAGTAGCTTCAAGCTAAGTGGTAGTAGCTTCTGCCCGGTGGTTGAAACGTCACGGCGAGGCCGCGTACGGCCACACGGGAAGAGGCAGACTTGCTTGCGAGATGTAACCGCGGCCTCTGAAATAGGATGAACCGTGACGACGCCCCGTATGGGAAAGGCTATTAGGGACTCGGACAAGGTAAAGGATCTTTCTGCACGGCGGATGGCTCCTAATCCGAGATGACTTTTGGGTCGACTCAAAAGTCAATGATCCGAGATCTACTGGCAGGAATATGGAGACCGAAAGTCGATAGTGATACGAGAATGGCAAACACTGGACTGGAAAGTGCATAAAAGCTCTGAAGCCGACGCGTGGTGATTCAAAGGGCCTGGGTGGCAAGCGAGGTGCTGCTCTGCTGATCTCCCGAAAGCTCAAGTGCCTTTCGAATAGACGTCAGCCGCGGCTGCTCCCGCGGCTGCTCCCGCGGCTGCGTCTGCAGCACGCAGTGCCGCTGGAGGCGGCAGTGGGCAGCGGTAATTGGTGACTTGCGGCTGTTGCCTAGCAGCAGCGAATGGTTGCGAATTGAGGGGGTGTGGAATGTGGATTCAAGCGATGCTTGTGGGAATCTTGATGGGAGGAGCAAACAACATCGCCTGAACTCAAATTATGCCAAAGCTGTTTCGCACTTCGGGCGGGTCCAAATAGTTCAATTGGGATTTTTGGACACGTTTTTACGAACTCGGGTACAAAATAGTTTCTCCCCCTAACCGCGTCCCATATTGCGAATGAAAATGGAAACTGGTGCCAACGGGGTGCGTTGCAGAAAACGGTTCGCCCCAGATACCCCAAATCGTAGTCACCAATTGTCGCAACTCGCAAAACGGATGTTTCGTGCTGGGTTGGGTGGCAGGCGCGATTTGCCGTTGCGCCACACGAGCTGTTCGCGAGGTCGCCTTGTTCTCGTCAAGCGCGGCTTGTCTACTCGCCCCCAAAGTACACCTACCGTCACTCGAATCGTAAACGAGTCTTGACTGGGGTACATGTACCTTCACATGCGTCGAGCGTCCCGAGTTACGGTAAATTCGCGCACTTGTCCTCGGGAAATGAATAGGGTGTGAAATATTTGGACCCGCCCTTATATTCAAGCCAATCAAATCGTTTCTGGGCAGCCCAAGAGTAAACTCCCACAGGGAACCTGGTTGTACTTCGGGAGGCATCAACCCTAAACTCGTGTCGGGCATCGGAAAGAAACCCTACGATTGGCTTGAGTACAGATGCACACAACGCCTGGCATAATTTGAGCATTTCTGGTAATTCCTGGTTCGACTATGTATGGATGTGAGTTGGCCTCGAAGCGCGTTGAAGAGATTTGGCGCGATGGCAGAGACACACGGCTCTGACGACAACGAGTCAGTGGCGCGGCGCGGAGAAATTGTGGTTGTGGTTGCGGCAAATGATGGAGAAAGTCTCGATTCAGTTATTAGCTTGTATAACGAGGCTCACCGTGCTCTAAAAATTTACACATAAGATCCTAGCACTTGGTGCTAAAATATTCCTGGTATAGAGAGATCTCGTTTATTGCTCACCCGCTTACAGCCAGGTTTGTTTATTTGGGAGTCCAGCTTAGTCCGCTATAAATCAATATTATCTTTTGGACTCTGGGCGAGTGTGGAGGTATCATCCTGGCATAAGTGACCAGAAATTGCCACTCTACAGCGCGTCTATTTCCGTGTTGAGCAAGGATCCTGCCTCGAAGATAACAAAGTTTTCCACGTCACGTCGTGGCTCCTACACAGGACAGGACAGGACAGGACCAACTTCACTAGACAGGACAACCTCGAGGTTGATCCCCTGCTTTTTCCGCCGATCACTAGGTTGTCATTCACTTGGCGCATCCGTCCGGGATGCGACGACGGAACGGGTTTTTTCGCACTGTTTATTAGCGTTGCGAGGCGCAAAGGCATCTCACATGTGTCTAGCCTCAGCCAACTTTCGCCTAGCACCCTCATTCCCTGAAATCCGGAGAATCTTCGTTTCTCGTTATCTTCCCGTTATCCCCCGCATCTCATCTCCTTCCCGCCCCAGTCATGGCACCTGCTATCACTTCTCCTCTCCCACCTCTCTCCTCCCTCGCTATCTCCCCTCCAATCCGCGAATCCCGCTCCCTTCAAAACTCCTCTCCGCGCCTTTCCCGCACCGCCTTCCCTATCCTCCTCCCCCTCCTCCTCGTGCTCCTATTCGCCGACCGATTAACACCTCCCGCCGCGGCGCTTCCGCACTATGGCGCCGTCCCAGGCGGCAGTTGCCCCATGAACAACTGGTCCGATAACGGCTACTGGGGCGTGATCGAAGCGCGCGCGCACGCCGCGCTCGCCGCGGCGCAGGAGTGGCGTGGCGCGGCGAACGAGGCCCTGGGCCGAGTCGAGCCGCTGCAGCTGCTAGTGGCGGCGCTGCTCGCGGCGGTGGTCGGGGGAAAACTCGCGCAAGTCGCGGGCGCTGCTGGCGCGCAGATCCGGTCTAAAGGTGCGCGGAGACGAATATCGAGAGAATATTGCTCGCTCGTTGTCCCACGCATACACCCGCGCATAGAGCCGCGCATAGCGCTCGTAGACCCGCTCGTAGACCCGCCAGTTCGGAGCAGAAGCCACGATGCTAGTCGGACGGAGGCTGTATGGTGCCGTTGTCGTTGTGCGCTTGTTTGTGTGCACAGGAATGCCGCTCCAGCTCATCACATGCCCTCGCATCCCTCTCATCCGTCCCATCCCATCCCATCCCTCCCATTGGCTTGTTTTGAGGCGCCTAAAAACCGTCCCATCCCATCCCTCCCATTGGCCTTCATCCTTGTGCACCCACCCATCGGCCAGGCCTCGTACCGACTCTCACTGCCCTCTTCTTCTCGCTAATCAGGTGAACCACCCATCTGCCAGGCCTTGTACTTACGTTCCTTTCACTTCAAGCGAGCGTCTACATTGGCGTCAAGGTTCAAAGGACCTTGATTGAACCTCGCCCGGAGTTTTCGGACTCGGGTGGTTCGTTTCGCCCTGGCGAGTCTCAAGGTCCTTTGAACCTTGACGCCATTGTAGTCGCGCGCTTTAAAAGAAAAAAAAGCACCTCTCGTTCATTTATCCATGAGTTGAGTTCATTCACCCCCTTTCGCTCCAAGCTTTCTCGCTCGCTTTTACACACATCCACATCTCGCTCTCTTTGTACGCCTTCCTCTTTCTCTCCTCAGGCTCCTTCCAGGCGTGAAGGCGTTCATCCAAGAGCAGCAGGACAAGGTATGCTTGATGCTTTTGAGTCGACTCTAAAGTGCCTCAGGCTCCTCCCAGGCGAAGAGGCTTATATGGAAGAGCAGCAGGACAAGGTACGCATGATGGCATGGGTGGAATTTCACGCATGATAACATGCACCAGCAGCACCAGCAGCAGCAGCAGCAGCAGCAGCAGCAGGGAGCGCGGGCAGTGTCGCAAGAGGCTGCCAGACGTGGGTGCAGTCTGCAGAGGGGAGGTGCTTGGGTATAGCGGCTACCAAGGCCACTCGTTATCGCTCGTCCATGTTCCCTCCCGCACTCCCCTCTTCCCCCTTCCCCCTGCAGGCCAGGGCGCAGATTGTCGGGGGCAGCAGCAGCAGGGAGCGCGCGCAGTGGCGCAAGAGGCTGCCGGACGTGGGTGCAGAGGCGGAGGAGGTGCTGGGGGAGATGCGGGCTTTAAGAGACAAGGATAAGGCGTGGCAGGGGCGCTGCTCGGGAACTGTGTGAGTGACGTGGTGCACCGGGGGAGGGGGATGTGGGGAGGGAGGAGAAGGGAGGGGAAGGGAGGGGGGAAGATATGGATTCAGAGAAGAGGGGAGGTGCTGGGGGAGATGCGGGCTTTAAGAGACCAGCACAAGGCGTGGCAGGGGCGCTACTCGGGGACTGTGTGAGTGGCAGGGGTTGGGGAGGGGGGCAGATGGGGGGGAGGCGGGGGTGAAGGTGAGGGAGGAGGGTAGGGTGTGTGGAGTGGAGTGGAGTGGAGTGGAGTGCATAGGTGTTGACGGAGGCACTTTGGCTCTTCTCCCTGTTTCACAGTTCTTGCTTTAGCAGTGATGTGTCAACGATGCAATTTCTCCCTCTTCCTCCTTCTCTCCCCTCTCCCTTCCCACCCCGTCCGTCACCTCCCTCCCTCCCCTGGTCCCTCCCTCCCCTGGTCCCTCCCTCCCCCCGGTCCCTCCCTCCCCTGGTCCCTCCCTCGCCTGGTCCCTCCCTCCCCTGGTCCCTCCCTCCCCTGGTCCCTCCCTCCCCTGGTCCCTCCCTCCCCTGTTCCCTCCGTCTCCTGTTCCCTCCCATGTGGCGGCACATGAGTAAAGCTCCTGTTCTCTCTTTTTGAGTGTATGCGTGTGGCCGCGGAGAGTCGTATGCGAGACACATGAGTAAAGCTCTCCTTTCGAGTGTATGCGTGTGGCCGCGGAAAGTTGTATGCGAGTCACATGAGTAAAGCTCTCCCTTTGAGTGTATGTATGTGGCCGCGGAGAGTTGTATGCGAGTCACATGAGTAAAGCTCTCCTTTTGAGTGTATGCCTGTGGCCGCGGAGAGTCGTTTGCGAGTCACATGAGTAAAGCTGTTCTTTTGAGTGTATGCTATGCGTGTGGCCGTGGACAGTCGTATGCGAGTCACATGAGTAAGGCTCTCCTTTTGAGTGTATGCCTGTGGCCGCGGAGAGTCGTTTGCGAGTCACATGAGTAAAGCTCTCCTTTTGAGTGTATGCATGTGGCCGCGGAGAGTCGTATGCGAGTCACATGAGTAAAGCTCTTCTTTTGAGTGTATGCTATGCGTGTGGCCGTGGACAGTCGTATGCGAGTCACATGAGTAAGGCTCTCCTTTTGAGTGTATGCGTGTGGCCGTGGAGAGTCGTATGCGAGTCACATGAGTAAGGCTCTCCTTTTGAGTGTATGCATGTGGCCGCGGAGAGTCGTATGCGAGTCACGTGAAACTGTCTCCCCGCTTCCTAACGCCCCCCTCTCTCCGCTCTCTCAGCCCCCTTCCCTCGGCTCTTTCAATTCCCATGTCTCTCCCCTCTCTGCTTCCCCCATCAGCCATGTGGGCGGGCGGGGAGGTCATACGAGAGAGCCACACGAATCTCGTTCCGCTTCCTCCCTCCCTCCCTCCCCCCTCCCCTCCCCTCTCTCATCCCCGTGTTCCGACTTTTGAGGCGCCTCAAAAGTCCTCCCCTCTCTCATCCCCGTGTTCCCCCCACTCTCCCGCCCTCTCTGCTTGCTCCATCAGCTATGTGGGCGGGGAGTCGTACGAGAAGCATATGAAGCTGATAGCCGATGCTTATACCATGTGAGTGCGCATGGTGTGGGGGGGGGGGGATGGGGGCGAAACTTGCAAGGGGGTTAGGGAGGGCTAGCTGTGTGGCATGACCTGTTGCTTCCATGACACGTTCTGCAGTGCAGCCTCGGAATCTTGTATCCCTCAGTCCGTCCGTCCATGCATACATCTCTCAGGGTGTTGTTGAGAATTCTCAAAAACCTCCATGCAGACACGTCCACGCAGACACGTCCATGCAGACACATCTCTCATACATGGCTGTGGACTGGAGAGATTTATGCACGGAATAACATCCTGCAGCCTCCGAATCTTGTTCGTCCGCCTTTTCATTTCCCTGTTCATGTGTCCTCCTCTCCCCTCGCTTCTCCCTCACCCTCCTCCCCCCCAGGTTCCAGCACACCAACCCCCTGCACCCGGACGTCTTCCCCAGCATCACTCGCTTCGAGGCAGAAGTTGTTGCTATGACTGCCGCTCTGTTGGGTGGGGGAAGCCACCCTGAAGCCAGCTGGGGGGATGGGGGCAGTGACAGCGCAGCCAACGGGGAAGAGAACGGGGGGGGCAAGGGTGGAGCGAAGGGGGCGAAGGGGGTCAAGCGAGGGGAGAAAGCAGGGAAGGGAGGGGGGAGTGGGGGAGAGGGGGGGCTGGAGGTGTGTGGGAATGTGACGAGCGGGGGGTCGGAGAGTATTCTGATGGCTGTGAAGGCATCCAGGGACTACATGCGCGCCAAGAAGGGCATCACCCGGCCAGAGATGTGAGTGCATGGGGGATGTGAGTGCGTGTGCGTGTGAGCGGGAATGCATGCAGACAAGTGTTGTATCCCTGTGTATCCCTGTGTATCCCTGTGTATCCCTGTGTATCCCTGTGTATCCCTGTGTATCCCTGTATCATTTTAGTTGCACAAGGTGCGGCATCAGCGCCGGTGGGGAGCCAAAATTCTCTGAACCATCCTTTCTCCTCCCCCACCCACCCTCCCTCCTCCCCCCCCCCCGCCTGCAAACCACCCGGCAGGATAGAGCTGTTGTTGGTGCATGCGGCGTTCTTAAGGCGGCGGAGTACTTCCAGGTGCAGCTGGTTTATGCTATGTTCCTCGCATCTGTCCTCTCCCCGGCACCGTCCTTCCCCCCCCTGCCTTGTGCTCCACCCCTCAGGATCATGTCGGTGTGCGGCGCATGCGGTGTACGGCAAGGCGACCGAGTACTTCCAGGTGCAGCTGTTGATGTCCTTCTGTTCTGTCCCCCCCCCACCCACCACCTGGCAGGATAGTGCCTGTATCAGCGCATGCGGCATACGACAAGGCAGCGGAGTACTTCCAGGTGCAGCTGTTGCGGGCCCCCGTGGCGGACGACTGGTGCGTGGAGGTGGACGCGGTGAGGCGCCTGTGCACACGCAACACCGTACTGGTGAGCCGAGAGAGATTTGGTGAGCGCTGGGTGCTGGTGAGCCGAGAGAGGGGGGGCGTGCTGGTGAGAGCAGCAAGCTGGTGAGAGCTGCGTACGTACATGTGGATCCGAGAAGGACGGTGCATTATCGTTGTCTTGTCCGCAGAGGAGGTGGACGTTGTGCGGCCTGTGTGCACGCGCAACACCGTGCTGGTGAGATCCGGGAGGGGGGACGTGCAGTGTGCTGTGCAGGCGAGCCGAGAGTGGGCTTACCTGTAGGTCCCTTCCCTTGGGAAGTCACTTACTGCAACAACACGATGCTGGCGTGCCAAGAGGTGGGGCATGCTGTGTGGATCAGAGGGTGTCGAAGGAAAGACTTTTGCGATTACAGAGTTTTGGCCAACCTTGTAGATCGTTGTTTGTTTCGGTGAGATGCATTGTCGTGTAAGATACATTTGTGTCGGCACAAAGCAGCTGCCTGCCACCGTGCGCCTGGTGTGGCGTGGCCATGTGGGTGGGGGAGAGGAGTCCCCGTAGCAGTCCCAACCCAAGTTGGGCTCTAACGCTATTTTGGGCTGCGTTAGCGTTACGTAACGCGTTAACTGACGTTAATGATAACGAACGTTAACGAACGTGCGCTACTAACGTTGGGCAGGTTGAAAAAAAAAAACCAGGAAAAAAAATCGCGAGAAATTCTGGCCTTGAATGGAAAGCCGCGAACCTGACTGTGCCCACAGCTGGAAAGGTTTACTTCGCGGTTGTACGAGGAAGGGACTAAGCTTACGTTTGGGAGAAGATCATAGCATGCCAGCTGTTTAGTCGACTGAAATTCTGCCAGTAGCTTGCGTCTAGGCTGCGTGGAAGTTTGGCGCCTGCTGCGGAAGTATGACGCGACTGAGGTAGGTGAAGGAATTCGTGGAGGAAGAAGTGGAGAAGGGAATCGAGGGGTAGGCGTGGTGTGTACGGGAAATTGGGTTGGCCATGGGGGTGGAAATCCAACGACCAATTGGATTCTCCGAAAATCAGCCACTCCCCTGCTGCACCCAAATTCGTCATCACAAAACGTGTGTGGGACGAAGTGTGATGTGGAAACCTTGTTTCCTGTCAAAATCCGTTCCGTGCGAATTACGTGAGGGGAAATTGTGGGATGACGTTAGCTGGTTTTTGTTTGTTTGGGCAGCCAGGGAAATTTTTATGGCTGACCGTAATCGTTAGTCCAAAACCAGACAACGTACGTAAACGTAAAAATGATACATAAACGTTCGTAAACGTTAGTCAACGTAAACGTTAAGTCCAACTTAGGTCCCAATGCAAAGGAAGGGCCCTTGTTGGGGTCACGACTCACAAGGTCTTGTGAGAGTGAAGCACACTTTCCGTTTGTGAGAGTGGCCTTCTCAGAAGGTGCTCTGTGTTGCGGGACGGGTACAGGTGAAAGGACGTTAGGACTGGGGAAGGGGATTCCTGTGGGAAGGGGGATGCTTGCTTGTGCGGGGGTACAGCTTTTGAGTCGACTCGAAAGGGGGATGCTTGTGCGGTACAGCTTTTGAGTCGACTCAAAAGGGGGATTCAGCGTGCGGTACAGGTGAAAGGTTAGGTGGGTGAAAGCGATATTCTCTCCCTCCCTTTCTCACTCCCCTCTTCCTTCCCTCCTCCCCATCTCCCTTTCCCTTTCCCCCCCTGTCCACTTTCCCCTTGCGCCCTGTCCCCCCTCCCTCGGCGCCCTCTGTCTGTGTGGCTCCTTCCAGATAGTGGCATCCGCTCCGGGCTTCCCACACGGCATCATAGACCCCATTCCGGTGCGTGCTATTCCTGGTTTCAAAAACAGAATGAAGAAGAAAAGTGAGGGGGGAGGGGGGAGGGGGGGGTTGTGTGAGAGGTGGATCCGATCCCTGTGCAAGCCCGCATCGCCCGCATCGCAAGTAGGCTCTTCATACTTGCGCCATACACACTTGCTCGCCCCATGCCCGTGTCCCATGCCCGTGCCCCATGCCCGTGCCTTATGCCCGTGTCCAAGTTGTTTCCCTGTCCACCATGGTGCCCTGCCGCTTCCGGGTGCCCTCTCTGCGGCTCGCTGCAGGAACTGGGCGAGATAGCGGGGCACTGGGGCACGTGTCTGTCTGCATGTGTCTGTCTGCATGTGTACCTGCTACCACAGCAATAAGCCCCTCCTCTCCCTGTCCACATGCTGCTCCTCCCCGCTGCCCTCCCTGCATCCCATGGCTAACAGGAGCTGGGCGAGATAGCGGCGCGCTGGGGCACGTGTCTGCACGTGGACTGCTGCCTGGGGGGCTTCGTGCTGCCCTTTGCTAAGAAGCTCGGGTACGTACGTGCCTCGCGAGTCGTTTTCAGCCGCCGCAAAGTCGCTGGGGTATGCGATCTACGCGCTGCCGCAGTGTGGTGTTGCAGTGCACTTTCCGAGACTTCTCAAGAGATTTACTTGCTGCGTGCTTGCTATCTCCACCTGCGTGCCATGCACCCTCGCTCCTCTTCTCACTCTCTCCCTTTCTCTCTTTTCCCCCCCCTCGGAATTGCAGGTTCTATCTGAGAATTCTAGAACAGGTGCTTTCTCTTCTCTCTCTTCCCCCCCCTCTCCCGTCCTCCTCTTCTTACCCTCTTTTCCATATCAGTGAACTGCCAAAATATGGGCTTCTTTCCATATGCACCCCCAACCACTGTCACAGTCCCTACTCCCCTTCTCCCTTCAACGTCACCTGTGTCTCTCACCCTCTGTTCCTCCTGCTTCCTCCTCCCTCAGACCTCACCCACCCCAGCTACCACCTGCCGCCCTTGGACTTCTCGGTGCCCGGGGTGACGTCCACCTCGGTGGACCACCACAAGTACGGGCTGGCTCCCAAGAGCACGCCCCATTTGAAACCTGTACACCCCACGCCACCACCCCCCACCTCTCCCCCTCCCACCTGTCTCCCCCCCCCCCCTCCCACTCTCAGCTACCCTCTGCCGCCCCTTGACTTCTCGGTGCCTGGGGTGACGTCTATATCCGTAGACTGCCACAAGTACGGGTTGGCTCCCAAGGGCACCCCCAACCCACTCTGGGGAGGGCACAAGTAAAACACTCTACACCGCACCCCACCCCTCACCACCTGCCCTCCCCCTCTCCTCCCCACTTTCTGCTCCCCCTCTCCTCACCCACCCCAGCTACCCCCTGCCGCCCTTCGACTTCTCAGTGCCTGGGGTGACGTCTATATCCGTGGACTGCCACAAGTACGGGCTGGCTCCAAAGGGCACGTCCGTGGTGCTGTACCGCAACCGGGAGATTAGAAAGGTGAGAGCGAAGGGTGGGGAATGGGGGGACTAGAAAGGTAAGACGATTTTTGAGGCGTTTCAAAAATCTGTATCGCAACCGGGAGACTAGAAAGGTGAGAGCGAAGGGTGGGGAATGGGGGGGGTGTGGATGGGGGGGATGGGGGATGGGGAATGGGGGATGGGGGGGTGGCCGTGTCAAGCACACCCAAGAGCACGTCCGTGATGCTGTACATGAGGGGTTCGGGAATGGGGGCGGGGAGAGAGAGGGGAGAGGGAGTTTGGGGGAAGTTCAAAATACCGGGGTATTTTGGGGGGGGGGGGGGAGGGAGGCGGAGGGAATCGGGTGGGGAAAGTTGGGAAAGTTTTGGATGCTCAAAAGTCACCTGCAGGCAATGGCCGAATGAATTGTGACGGGTTTTTGAATCTGCTCCAGCTTCGTTTGGCGGGTTCACTTGGCCTTAGAGCTGGCTTTTCGCTGCTGCTGCACGCTCTCTGTGCTAGCTCGAGCCAGCCCCCACTCGCCTTCGTTTGCTGGTTCTTAGAGATTCGTCACAATACCACATAGTCAATGTTCTGTTGCTGCTCCTCCCCTCCCCCCTCCCCGCCTCCTCTCTCGTCTTCTGTTGCTGTCTTCCCTCTCCCGCTTGTTTCCGTGTCTCCTTTTCTCCTTTTCTCCTTTTCTCCTTTTCTCCTTTTCTCCTTTTCTCCTTTTCTCCTTGTCTCCTGGCCCCCCCATCGCATTCACCAACCGTGCAACAAATGGCTTGCCGTCAGCATCAATTCTGTGCGGGTAAGTGTGTTGCGTGGGTGGCATACTGAAGCAAGGTGACTTCTGAGTCGACTCAAAGTCACCTCGTGAGTGTTGCACCTTTTGAGTCGCCATGTTCTGCCATTCTCTTGTTCTGCCATGTGTATCCATGCGATTCTGACCTGCATGGCCGTACCCCAGCATCCCAACCATGCCCGAGCATCAATGCCCCTGTCCCTAGACCATACCTCGGCATCCCTCTTTTCCTTCTGATCCCAGCATACAAATCTTAAAACACAAACACGACTCAGCACCTAAAGTCTCAAAACCTACCGTTAAACCCTGCCCCCCGCCCCCTGCCTGTTCCCCCCCCGCTCCACGTTTTTCGCCCTATTTTGCGCAGTGACAGAGCGAAGTGGCGAGTTGTGTAGTCGCTCGGGGGCACTCATTGCCCCCCTGCCCTCAGCCCTCTGAACTCTGCCCTCCGCCCCCTGCCCCATGTCCCCGTGCCGCCCGCAGTAACGGAGTGGAGTGGCGGGCTGTATGTGTCGCCCTCTGTCTCGGGCAGTCGCTCTGGGGCGCTCATTGCGGGGGCCTGGGCTGCCATGAGGAGCATCGGGATGCAGGGTGAGTGCTGGGGTGGGTGGGGTGTGGTGGGGTGTGGCATGGTATGGTATGGTGTGGTGTGGTGTGGTGTGGTGTGGTGTGGTGTGGTGTGGTGTGGTGTATGGTGGTGTGGTGTGGTGCGGTGCGGTGTGGAGTGGTGTGGTGTCGTGTGGTGTCGTGTGGTGTGGCGTCGTGTGGTTTGGCGTGTGTGGTGTGGTGTGGTTTGGTGTTGCGTGGTGTGATGTGGTGTTTTGCCGTGTCGTGGCATGTGGCGTGTCGTGTGGTATGGTGTGGTATGGTGTGGTGTGGTGTGGTGTGGAGTGGTGTGGGGTGGTGTGGTGTTGTGTGGTGTGGCGTTGTGTGATTTGGCGTGTGTGGTGTGGTGTGGCATGGCGTGGTGTGGTGTGGTGTGGCGTAGTTTGATGTGGTGTTGTGCCGTGTCTTGGCATGTGGCGCGTTGTGTGGTGTGGTGTCGTGTGGTGTGGCGTGGTGCTCTCCCCTGCTCTCCACTATCAGTCCAATTCAGTGCCGTCATGCGTCCAGTCAGCCCCTGTCAACCCCTTCTCTCATTTCAAAACCTCCTCCTACTCCTCTTCCCTGCCCCTTCTCCTCTCTCTCGCTCTCTCCCCCCACTCAAGCATCCAGTCAGCCCCCCTGTTCTGGCTTCCCAAACTCCTTTCTCTTCCCTTCCCGCCATCCTCTCTCGCTCTCTCTCCCTCCCTCCCCACCGCGTTCCCTCCCTTCTTCGTCTCTTCTCCACTGCCTCATTGTCTCCTTCTCCTTCCCATTCCCATCTCCTTCCCCCCGACCCTCTCTTCCCCCCCCAGGCGTCCTCTCTTTTCTGTAGTCGCTTTCCCCCCCCCCTCACCCTCCCCTGGGCAACATAATCATCACAAGGAAGCCTCATGGAAGCCTCATGGAAGCCTCTCATGGAAGCCTCGTGGAAGCCTCATGGAGCCCTCATGGAAGCGTCCAAGGCGCTAGTGCTAGGGTGGGTGGGCTGCTCCCACTCCACCCACCCATCCGTGTGAATCCCCCCTCGTCTCCCCTCAGAATTCGGTCCTCTCCCCTCCTCACGCTCCCCAGGCTACATGGACATCACGAGGAGGCTGATGTAAGGCTCAATCTTCCATCCAGGGTGGGTGGGCTGCTCTCCTAATCTTCTCTCCATCCATCCGTCCATCCACCCATGCATCCATGCCAATCCTCCCTCTTCCTGCCGTATTCGGTTGCCCCCTTCCTCGTCCCTCCTTGCCACTCCTCACCCCCCCCAGGGTACATGGACATCACGAGGAGGCTCATGGAAGCGTCCAAGGCTGTAGCGGCAGGGTGAGCAAGTTGATAGGATGATTGGGTTAGTGCGGATGATGTGGGTCAGAGCGGATGTGTACTCCAGCCTAGTTTTGAGGCGCCTAAAAAATGTGTGCTCCAGCCGAGAGGCACTAGGCATGGATGGCTGCTGATGCATGCTTGGTTGGATGCATGGCTGGAGGCGTGTGGGGGAAGGCGTGTGCAGTCCACCGCCTGCAACTGTTCCTTGTGTGTTTGGCATGTGCACACGGATGGTCATGGCACATGGCACATGGCACATGGTGTGTGTGCATGTGACATACCATACCATCCGGCACCAGGATATCGCGCATAAAAGGAGTGCATGTGGTGGGGCAGCCGGACATGACAGTGGTGGCACTCGCATCGGATCACCTGGACATATACCGGGTCAACGACGCCATGTCGCAAAAAGGATGGGCGCTCTCCGCCCTGCACAAACCCGCCAGGTGACCCTGAATGCTGATACAATTGTATTGTGAGTCGACTCAAAATACGCCAGGTGGCCCTGAATGCCGACACTCACAGACTCACGTACTCACTGATGTGCATTGCCAGCGCGTGATAGGAGTCTAGTTTTGAGGCGCCTCAAAACGTACTCACTGATGTGCATTGCCAGCGCGTGATAGGAGTCTAGTTTTGAGGCGCCTCAAAACGTACTCACTGATGTGCATTGCCAGCGCAGCTGGACATGACTGAAGTGGCACCCAAGTGGTGTTCACTCTGAAGTGGCACTCACATTGGACGACCTGGACATTTACCGGGTCAACGACGCCATGTCGCAAAAAGGATGGGCGCGCACTCTCCAAACCCGCCCTGCACAAACCCGCCAGATGACCCTGAATGCGCTGCCTGCTCTGCCTGCTTCTCCCTCCATTCCTGCTCTCCCACATGTGCTGCTGTGTGTGTGTGTGCACCTGCACCCCCATGCCGACAACTACAGCATCCACATATGGGTGACAGGGCAGCATGTGGATGCGACTCTCATCCCTCGCCGCTCACCCCTCTACACCCCCCACCACCCCTCCGTGCCGCATGCACCTGTCTGTGACACTGCAGCACGTGGACCATGCCTGATAGACCCTCACCGCTCTTCACTCCTCCATCCCCCCTCCTCGCCCCTCTCCTCCCCCCCCTTTCGGCCCTGCGTGCAGCATCCACCTGTGCATCATGCTGCTGTATGAGGACCATGCCTATTCGCCCCTCAACCCTCCCTTGTCCTCCCCCCCCCCCCCCCTCTTTCGGCCCTGTGTGCAACATCCACCTGTGCATCATGCTGCTGTATGAGGACCATGCCTATTCGCCCCTCAACCCTCCTTTGTCCTCCGCGCCCCCCCCCTCCCCCTCCCTTTTGGCCCTGCATGCAGCATCCACCTGTGCGTGACCTTGCAGCACGTGGACGCGGTCGACACCTTCCTGGCGGACCTGCAGGCAGCTGTGGACGAGGTGAGCGCACATGCACAGGGAGCTGGGGGGTGCTGGGGGTAGCTGGGGCAGCCATGCACGCATTGGGGGTTATAGCAGCAGCACCGGCAGTATGACTGCAGCAGCATGTGGATGGGGCTGACACCTTCCTGGTGACCCCGCAGGCTGCTGTTTCTGAGATGAGCGCACAAGGCGGTGTTGGAGCTGGGGGTCCATGTGTCGTTGTGTGGCTGCGTGAACTAGTTCAGACACTTAGAAAGAGAGGTCGTGCGGTGACACCTGCAGCACGTGGACGCGGTCGACACCTTCCTGCCGGACCTGCAGGCAGCTGTGGACGAGGTGAGCGCACACACACAGGGCGCTGGTGGATGATCAGTGTGGAAGGAAGACCCTTAGTGCCTGCCAGCATTGATTCCGACGGGCAGTGAAGCAGAAGCAGACCTTGCGGTCACGCTGCAGCATGTGAATGAGATCGGCACCTTCCTGGCGGACCTGCAAGTAGTTGTAGATGAGAGGAGCGCACAGGAAGCTTGGGGGTGGGGGCGCCATTGTGGGGAGCTTGGGGGGCGGGGGTGCCATTGTAGGGAGCTTGGGGGCCAGGGGCGCCATTGTGGGGAGCTTGGGGGGCGGGGGCGCCATTGTGGGGAGCTTGGGGGGCGGAGGCGCCGTTGCGGGGAGCTTGGGGGGCAGCGGCGCCATTGTGGGGAGCTTGGGGGGCGGGGGCGCCATTGTGGCAAGCTTGGGCGGTGGGGGCGCCATTGTGGGGAGCTTGGGGGGGGGAGTGGGGGTGCCGTTGTGGGGAGCTTGAGGGGCGGGGGCGCCATTGAGGGGTGCTGGGGGGGTGGTGGTGCCATTGTGGGGGGCTGGGGGGGCAGCCAGCAGCCATGCACAGAGTGACTTTTGAGTTGACTCAAAAGTCGCATGTTAGGGGTTATCGCCGCAGCACAAGCCATTACAGGCTTACAGTAGCCTTGAATCCAGGCATGTGCCATCCAGCTCCGCCCCTCCCTCCCCCCCCCGCATCCTCGTTTCTTACCTCTGCTGCCCGTATCCCTACCTCTTCCCTCCGTGTTACCTCAACCTTCGTTGCTCGCATCCCTCTCTCAAACCCGACTTTCCTCCACATGCATGTGTCGCGTGCTCGCGATGTGTCTCAGGTGCGCTTGTCCCCCTCGCCATTGTCACAAGGCATGGCTCCCATCTATGGGGCTGGTAACCGCATGCCAGATAGAGGGGCTGTGAAGGAGCTGCTGTTGGACTACATGGACTCGCTCACATGATGGAGCATGCAGGATCTTATATGCGGGCAGGCAACGTTCTCCTGTGCAACAAACAGGCATTGTTCAATATACTTGGTCGAAGGATCTATATTAATTTGAGTGCAGCCAATTTGAAATATCAGTGTGCTCCGGTTATTTTGTTTGGAAACATTCCAAATGTTCAGACAGTTGAGTAAAGAAATAGTGTAAATTCGTGTTAGGGGAAGTCCTAGATTGAAACATGAGAGCGTGAGATTGACATGCATAGATAGGGCAGATAATAGATAGTGATGTGTAGGCATAATAGCCACAGATAACATGCTTATGTTGTTACACTGGAGATAATTTGGGTGAGGGGCAGTCGTGCTCCCGTCAAGGTTATCCCAGGCATGATCGTTGCTGACGCCACCGAACCAGCATCTGGCGTGGCAAATCCTCTGCGGCGAATAGGAGATGCGACAGCGTGGATTCGAACCCCACCAGCCTCGACGATGCGCACAGCTCAGCCACAACCCCGACCCGCGGCTCGATCAGAATCCTCCATCACCCACCCTTCCTCCACACATGCTGATCTGCCTGACCCGCCCTCCCTACAATCACATCAATCATTCTCCTGCACAAACGCCATGGCCCGCAACCCTTTTACACATCGTCCAATGGTCTCAGTATTACAGTAATAGCCCCTAATTCTCTCACTCTCTGCCATCTGTTCTAGAGTCAAGACTCCCCATTTTCGTATCCCTCTGCTCTGCTACTTTCGGCCCTCTGCCTCTCTCCTCGACAGCCGCATCACGCCCTGTCCTCCATCCGTATTCGTTCGTTCCGAAGCCCATCGGCGCACCGTCCGGATGGCGTGCGTTCTTCCGCAAGCGGCCGCTCTCTCCAGCCTCGCCGCCTCTCGCGGCGGCCAGGGCGGCGCGCTCAAGCATGCAGAATCCGCTAAGAGCCGCTTCGCGACCAGAGTCGTCCCGTCTGTGATTTGCTCCGCGCAATGGAAAGTGAACGAGGTGAGAAGCATCGTTGCTGCTGTACGGACTGAGTACATTGTATTTTTACTCGACTCAAGTCAAAATACGCCACATCGTTGTTGCATAAACGGTTCGCAACCCAGGAATTGCGCGCCGCGCAAGCTTTCTAGACTGTACATTGTGACGTTAGTATCCGCCTCCGAGTTATTCTGTTCTACTCCAACCCAACAACTGTTGATTTTACGCACGGGGCACACAACACGCCATACGGCAAGGCCTTGACTTTTGAGGCCCCGACTTTTCGTGTACTCTCGCTCAGGAGAACCGCAACGGTGTTTTCTGGAATTCTAGGTCCTTTGTCCCACGATGGCGTGCATTTGTCGTCGACGCCCTGATTCGATAGTACAAAGCAGCCACGTTGCGTAATCAGCGGCGAGTGTGGCGATTTTGGCGAGTGCCTCGCGCGCCGCTTCTTCTGGTAGTTCATGTTAATTCAAGTCCACACAATCTCTAACCCCACAACCTTCAGGCGCCAATCACACGCCGCCATCTGTCCCTCCTCATCGCCACTTCTTCCGCCGCTCTCACCCTCCCCGACTCCGCCTCCGCGCGCTCCCGGGGGGAGGGCAAGCGGGAGGCGCTGGACCGCGTCCGGGACGAGGCGCTGGCCCGAGAGCGGGAGGCGGAAGCCGCGGTGGAGGCAGCAGCGGCGGCGGAGGCGGCGGCAGAAGTGGAAGCAGCTGCACTTGCGGAAGCCGCGTCGGACGCGGAGGTCGCGGGGGAAGGCGCGGCGGAAGCCCCAGCGAAAGATGTCGCGGCAGATGGTGGTGCGGAGATGGTCGCGGAGACAGCAGAGAGTGGCGGAGAGGCGGGGGAAGGGGCGGGGGCGGAAGCTGCTCCTGCTAATGCCACCCCTGATGCAGTTGCTTCTGACGAAGGTGACAGTAACGGGTCTGAGGCGAAGAGTCCTCGGGAAATGATGGGGGACATGATGGAAGATGTGATGGACATGATGGATGACATGATGGAAGGGGTCTCGTCCATCATGGGTAAGCTGCGGTCGCTCACCCCTACCAGCGGATCGTCATAGGTTGATGCATGGCGGATTAGTATGTATGCTGGGACTGGGGAAACGGGAAGGGTGAGTGAAAGAGGGGGGGGGGGGCTTGGGGGAGGGGATGGGGGGTGGTGGGGAGGGGTAGGCAAGTCAATCAAAGGTTTTGGGGAGAGTTTGCTTTCGTGAGCCCCAAGCATGAGTCAGCTGCTGATGTTGAGGGATCTGCAGTGGCACGCAAGGCTTATTGATTCTTCATAACTACCAATTGAATTTCCTCTTGTTTATCCACGTCATTGAGCAAAGCAATAAATGCACAGGGTTGTGGATTGAGTGCTGCGAACTGTTAGAAGAAACACATAAAATGCCAAATTATCAGCATGCCAAAACAAATGTATGTCTCAAAACTTCCTTGGCCACTTCCAATCTCAACATATTCCCAACAATTTGGAGCAGAAGCCCACTTGTTTCCCCCCATATCCTAATTACTGCCTACTCGCTCAAGTCACCTACAGTTTTTCATACATAAATTGGAGATTGGCACAAAAAAACTAGGGCTATGTCAGATTCCTAACAGCATGGTGTTGAGTGACCCGCTGGGGTTGCCCTTGAGATCCTCGGGGAAGGGCCACAGGTGCAGAGCCTGGGGGGCTATGGGCGCACTTACCCGCTATTCAACAAGCCCTTTTAACCCAGTGGTTAGTGACTGGGTTTCTGACACATGGCGCCACTGTTCTTGAATAGCAAAATTTTGGACCTCCAAGGTTGCAGCTTGGTTGGCCTCCCAAACACAGCCAGCAGCAACTTGTGTTGTGAAAGTAACATCCCCCTTAACTGCTGCTGCTGCTGATAACCATCTACGCTGCTAGTATATGGTACAACCATGTGCTGCTGCTGCTGCTGCTGCTGCTGCTGCTGCTGCTGCTGCTGCTGGTAACTACCTCAGGGAACGTAACATTGCACTGCTACTCCACGTTGTAACACTGACGTCCCATGCACCCTAGTCATCATCGTCGTCATCATCACCGTTGTTCTTCGTGCTGTTCTTGTTGCTGCTGTTGTTCTTGCCTGCTCTTCCTCCTCCACTCCTCACTCTGTTCGCTCCCCCACCGGCAGCAGGCGCCCCACCACCACCCCCATTACCACCAGCATTTTTCTTCGGAGCAGGCGCAGGAGGGACCGAGGTCACAGGTTGCTGCCCCCGCTTATGCCCGCCCGGCTTACCAACCCCCCCACTAGCAGCAGGCGTGGGTTTCTTCCCCCCTCCGCCAGCGCCAGCGGGAACGTTCCCTGTGCCCTTGTTCGGGGCAGAACCACCAGGCTTTGAGGCAGGCACGGGAGCGGGCTTGGTAGCAGGCTTGGGAGCAGGCTTGGGAGCAGGCATGGTGGCAGGCTTGGGGGCAGGCTGGGAAGCAGGCTTGGGGGCAGGCTTGGGAGCGGGCTTCGGCACAGGCTTGGGAGACTCAGCTGGCTTATTGCTGCTGCCGCCCTTGCCATTACCGTTGCTGACCTTCCCTCCCACGCCTCGAACCAGCGCGTTAGGGTCTACGATCCACCCGCCCTGATTCACGTAATTGATCGTCGAAAACGGCGCTGCTTCAGCAGCAGTCATCACTTTCGCGAAGGACTCCCACCCCGTCGCGTTGTAACCTGGTCCGTAACACCCGTACGCGCCGAACGTGAGCGAATCCGTATCCTCATATCCGCTCACGAAACCCCATCCTTCCGCTCTGACCGAACCAGCCGCGAACATCGTATTGACAAAAACCACCGTGGAGAAATCCCCCCAGGAGCGCGCTAGATACCCCGGCTTAATAGGCCCTTTCCCGAAGGGCTTTAAGGAGCCTCCTAAGACGACGAAGCCCGTGTCCTGGTCCTTGTCGCGCGCCTGCGCGAAGTAGCCGCCGCCCCAATAGACGAGGCGGAACTTGCAGTCGTGGAAGAGCGCCTTGGCGTTGCCGAACACGAAGTCCACGCGGCCCTGGATGACTGCAGGAGGGGGAAGGAACGGGGGGAGGCGGGGAGCGGAGGCGACGGGGGTAGGAGGGGAAAGTGAGACATGCGCTAGGCTAGGGAAGTAGGGAAAGCGGTTCAGTTGACCACACGAGAGCGCCGGAAATGAGAAGGCGTAGATAAAAGGCGCGACGAGACCGAACACAAGTGCTTGGATGGTTGGGGATGATGCTTGACGTCAAAAGAACGGGCCAGGACGGAAGACAAGGCAGGGCTAAGGCTGGGAACACGTACTGCAGTTCTTGTAGTACTGCAGGCCGATGGTCGCATACAGAGTGTCCTGGACGGTTTATAGCAAGGGAGCAAGCGAAAGTAGACAGACAAGAAGAACGATCGGGAGAGATAAGGGAGGCCGAGGAAAGGCAGACAACAGCGACAGTCGCGAACGTATAGAACGTGAAAGCACGAAGTCGAGGGAAGGTGAAGCATTTATGATCCATTCTACGCACGGTTCGCACGGTTCGCACCTGGTATCCGAGAAACGTGCAGCCGTAGAAGGCAACTCGCGTGCCGGCCACCTTCATCGCCACAGCTTGGTCCTCGTCGCTGCAAGCAAGCACAACCGCACAAGAAAACCAGGCCGACACGCGAATGGTGAGTCCACGCTGTGCTATTCCAACTCGCCGCGTGAGCCGAAAGAACTGCCGCGAGCTAGCCGAAAGAACCATCGCCGTGGTCCGTGCGGCCCGTGCTGTGCGCGCTCTGACGCGGCCGATGGTGATGCTTACCCGCCCTGCTCGCCCGGTCCGTGCGCGTTTTCGAAGATGATGTTGGAGACCACCACGTCCGACGCCAGCAGGCGGAACGTCGCGCACTCGTCCAGACTCGAGTCGCCCGCCGCGCCCGACGACGTTATCTTCACGCCGCTGCCCGCCCTCTCGCCCACCAGCCCGATGAATCGCAGGGACGCGGGCAACTGAAACAACGAGCAGGAAAAAAAAAAGTAACAGGGATGGTAGTGTCACATCCGGGCGGCGGTCAGAGAAGATTAGAAACATCCGGGAAACTTTGGAAGGAGAAGTGACGGAGAAAGCGAAGGATATTCTCGAAAAGGTTAGCAGCAGTGTGGAGGAGGAAGTGCACCGTGGGTTGTTCTTCGTAGACTCCCGCTTTGATGAAGATAACGAAGAAGCGGTTGCGAGTGCCCGACCTCGCGGCTGTGAGAGCTTCCTGGTAGAGGTGTGAGCGGGGGCAAGGAACGAGGAGAGGATCGAGGACGTGAGGAAGTCGCAGAGGGAATCACGGTGAGGATGCACACTCCAACATGAGAGGCGACGCGACGATTGCGCGCTAAATGAGGCTGCGATTCGGCGCGTAGTGAATCAACCCCGAACGTTAGAAGCCGCGGGGGGCAGTTGAAAGGGATTCCCCTCGTCGGACAATGCTGGAGAGGAAACTAACCTGCACGGTGGTATATTGCCCAGTTCCGTCCTTCGCAACGACGATATCCGCACCGGCTCCCCCGACGGCCGCAGCATCCACCTTCGGTTTCCTAGCCTCTGCCGTGGAAGCCAACAGCAGTGTGACGACCGCACTTAGAAGAACGGAGCGCATGGCCGGAGAGGCCTGGAATGCTCGCCAGTGTGGCTGCCTCGCGGCCATCGCGAGGTTTAGGTGGGGTGGAGAGAGTGCGGTTACGGTCGTACGGTTGTAAAAGCTCGCTCGCTCATGTAGTGAAGGAGGAGAGGTTCGGTGGCAGATGTAAATTGACGAGGAGAATGAGAGATGTTACACCGCTAGGGGCTTAGAAATACTCCTGGAAGCCTGCTGCAGAAGCCGAGGGTCCAGACCAAGCCGGGAAGAAGTGGTATTGGGGGGAGGTGGTGATCACTGATTTGAGTTGCGGCAGCAAGTGGGGCAGGAATTGCGCCCCGATCAATGTCGTGGGCAGGCTCGATGAGAATGAAGAGTCGGGATGCATCAGGAATGCGCGGCGCGAGGAATGCGCGCTTCGTTGGGGGGAGATTTCAGGTACTGGCATGTCTGGGGGGCGTGTCTGGTGCTGGCATTACCCTATGCGGCTGTTCCAACCGGGCTGGACAGCCAACGTGGCCTGGTTAGCAGGCATGTCACACATCCGACAGTACGACCGATTTTACATGTGGGCCAGGTGCGACCTTGGCGATTTTGATGTTCCTGCTTCGCTCGCGAGTTCGCGACGCCATTCATTTGGTGGTTACTCTAGTAAACGACAGTCTCGCACGAGTCGCTTGGTGTCCTGACGATTTTGCACGTCGCAACACTTGAAGGGTGTCAGAGCCCACGTACCCCCAACACCATTGTTTCAGTTGTTCGTAAGTGAAAGCTGGAATAAATACTCGCGGTGAATTAGCGCGTATGTGGCTTTGGCAGCGCCTGAACAGTCATATCCGTATCGGTTTCATTCGGTTTGTAAGGTCTGTCAACGGTATCGTACCAGCTAATCGCGTACTTGTGTATACTCTCACAAGGCTCTTACATGTGAAATTTCAGTGAACAATGAAAAACTGGTCATCATCAACCCCTACAAGCAACCTATGTTGACACAACCCTGTGAACGTGTTTGCACAAGAAAGCACGTGGTGTGGGCATTTATAGTAAGCATGATGTGATTACATTTGCTACTTATAATTAGGTCGCACTACACAGCATCCTATGACATGATGCGATGCATTGCAGAGCAATTCCCGTCCCGTGAGTGACGTCTTCATCAGCTTCCATCCACGAGGAATCACCAGCAGCAGTGTGCACGGCATGCACCCTTCTAGTTATTGTTCTGCTTGTGTCGTTGGCGCTTATTCTTCTTGCTGTTCCCTGCGCCGCTTGCAGCGGGTTGGGGAGGTGGCGTGGGTGCGACGGGAGTGGCGTTCTGAGCAGGGCCCTTGCCAGCAACACCCTTGGCTCCATTCCCACCGCCGCCGCCATTATTCACCTTGCCGCCCACACCACGCACCAACGTGTTAGGGTCGGCGATCCACCCTCCCTGGTTCACGTAGCTAATAGACGAATACGGGGCTGCTTCTGCCGCGGTCAGAATAACCGCGTTGTCGTCCCACCCCGTGGTGTTGTAACCGGGCCCGTAGCATCCGTACGCGGCGAACGTAACATGGTGCATGCGCTTGTTTCCACCAACGTACCCCCACCCCTCCGCGCGAACCGAACCCGCCGCGAAAAACGTGTTGATGAAAATAGTGGTGGAATATTTACCCCAGGAGCGAGCCAAATACCCGGGCTTGATAGGGCCCTTGCCTAGGGGACTCAGGGAACCGCCAAGAACGACGAAGCCGGTATCCTCTCCCTTCTGACGAGACTGCGCGAAGTAGCCGCCGCCCCAGTAGACGAGGTGGAACTGGCAGTTGTGGAAGAGCGCCTTGGCGTCGCCGAACACGAAGTCCACGCGGCCCTGGATGACTGCATCAAGATAGGAAGACAATGGGGGCGGTCGTTAGGAGCAAGCGATGCGGAAGGAATGTGGGATTTGGATGCTTCGGGCTTAGTGCGAGTGAAATATTACGGAAGAAAGCCAATACTTGTAGGCGGTAAAGGTCATGGCGTACCGCAATTCTTGTAGTACTGGAGTCCGGATAACGCGTACAGCGTGTCCTGGTACCCGAGGAACGAGCATCCGTAGAACGCAACGCGGGTTCCGGATACTTTCACAGCCACGGCCTGGTCCTGATCCCTGTCGTCACAAGCATATTCCGGCGCGCATTTGGGAGCAAGCGGGATGGAAGAAATGTGAGGCATCCTTGTACTGTCACGGCTCCTTCTGCGTGGCTTTTGTAACCGTGGGTGGCCAACGGTGTGAGCTTCGTGCGAGTGGTAACAACGGGTTGACGAACAGAGATGCCATTTGTTGAGCTGAAAGACTTGACTTACCCGCCCTGCTCGCCCGGTCCGTGCGCGTTTTCGAAGATGATGTTGGATACCACCACGTCCGACGCCAGCAGCTGGAACGTCGAGCAGTCGTTCAGATTCGACTGCCCCGCGTAATTCGACGCCGAAATCTTCGCGCCCTTCTCGCCCACGAGCCCGATGAACCTCAGCGACGCGGGCAGCTGCAACCATGCGACGCAGTGCGCGAAGGGGGAACGAAATGGTGAGAGGGTTGTGACAGGGATAGACGACATGACGGTGAAGTTATACGTGGAAAGAGAAACGGGCGCACGGCGAGACGCATTTGGTCTCGTGAACGTACCACTGCCTGCTCGTTGTACACCCCCGCCTTGACGAGAATGACGAAATAGCGGCTCGCAGTTCCGGATTTGGCGGCACCCAATGCGTCCTGCGAGAAAGGAAAGGATGGGGCAAGAGAGGGTAGTAAGCAAATACTGGAGTGAGGGGAAGAGCAAGCGCGCCGCAATGCTGCTCCGAAACTAAATTGCGCCCCAGCAGCACCAGCAGCAGGAGCAGCAGCAGCAGCAGCAGCAGCAGCTCACTAGAACGGTACCTAAGCAGCGCGCCAGAGCGTCCGTCACGGTACCTTAATGCTGGTGTAATCGCCGCTCCCGTCTTTCGCCACCACAATGTCGGCTCCGCCGCCGCCCGCACCCGCCGCCTCCAGCACAGCTAGCCGTGGCCTCGCATCCGCGAAGCCGGAAAACAGCGCGAATGCGAGCAGCATTGCTGAGAGGAACAGACGGCGCAGCGTAGGAGTGGTGCCACCGCGACGGGCTTCGCGCTGGCGAACGGAAGGCATGGTAATTGACGGGTTTTGCGCTGTCGCTGCCGAAAGGTTTGAAGGAAGCTGCCGTCACAGGGCGAGAGGCTTACTAATGCCGGGTGGAAATGGTGCGAGATGAGGTGGGTGATAGGACTCTCGGCGAGTAGGTGGCAGGTGGCTCTAGTCACGTTGTGAAGAATGAATGAGGAGGGACGAGCGAGCGGTATTTGTATGATACGCGAGCAGGAGCTGGTGCGGGTTCGTGTGCTGATCACCGTTGCCCCACGCATTGCGCAGGGCAATGGCGAGAGCTTATCGTGGGGCGTGGGGGCTTGGTGTAGGGAAACCCGCAGCGCGATTTTGTCGCCTTTTTTTTGGACATTGGGTTAGGTTGGGTGGGATGGGATGTGGGAAGGAGGGGATGACGTTGGGGGTTGTCGGTGGTGAGGGTTACTTGTTTGCGAGGGAGATCAAGGGGAGGATGTGACTGTTGGTTTGCTTGAACGAGCACTCCCTGTTGAAGACGCAAATCACTCGCCGCACCACGTTGCTGGCTCGCTGCTATGACTTGTGATCGAGGCGCGGATTGACAATGTTCGCGTCGCATTCAGGTCAGACATTTCACCCATCCCAAATCATCTTGCGTGCCCGCCAATTCCTTGCTATATTTTGTTCGCGATATAATCCTCCACGCGTTGAAACACCTCGTCGACATCAACGGTTGTCTGCTAAGTAAGCGGCTCGGATGCTCGTATGATATTGTCGCTTTGAAGTACTAATTGCACGCTTTGGCACAAATGCCATTGTGATAACCACTGTACCAGATGAAAGCTAAAAGCCCGCTTCTGACCGTGAACGATTTAGTGAAACTGCTTCCACAACCATTTGGCATTTCTGTGGGGGGCTGATTGGCATTCGTGCCAAGTGGACGTGGCCAGGGCAGGTGAGGTTCCACTTACGTGTCCTTCTCGCAAGCCTGGCGGCCCAGAGCCCTCAAGCTGTGTCAGCGATCGTCGTCGCAGAGTCGCCGACCAACCATGAACCGACCATTATCGAGACCAAAGTCTTAGGGCGTGTCCAGCGCGTTATTTTTCTTAACACGTATTTTTTCGTCTTCTGTACATGTTCGAAAATTGTAACGGCTAGTGTAGATGTCGCGAGGCTCACGTGTCGACTGCAGAGAGCATGCCTGGCTCGGCCTCGTGTCCCGCTTTTGACACGACAAATTGCTCTGCGAAGCGGGAAAAAAAAAAAAAAAAAAAAAAAAAAAAAAAAAAAAAAAAAAAAAAAGCCTGGCGAAAAATGCAGAGTTAGGATATTACGAGTCTGGAAAACGAGGCCTCACTATTTTCGCCCTGGCATTGAAGAGGTTGCACGACGATGACGAAGTTGGTGTGTTATCTTTTCGCCAGCCAGGATTTGTCGTTTCTGGCGGGAGTCTGTTTCGGGCACGATATCCAGCCGGATTCGAAACATGCCCACCACGACTACTGGGACGCTTTGAGAGCGTCCTCTAAAACCGTGCAATTTCGCGCGGGTCCTAGAAGACGCGGAATTTCGGGTTACCATACCTGACCAGTGTACTTGTCACGCCAGGTGAATAGCATAAGAACGCGCTAAACATACCCTGACAAACGACCCCCCTGCGAACGAATGCGATCGCAACGCGTATTTTAGAAAATCTAAAAGGAAATCGATACAACAGGAAGCATAATCCGACGACGCAATTACATGTGCAGGCCAAAGACCTTACATGGCACACCCAAGTCAATCAGAGTGAGAAACCATCTTATGAGTAATAATATATAGAATTCCTGCCCAACATACGATACAAGATCATCCACCATCCAATCATAATGCTTTGCATCCGAACATGTACCACAACCACAAGTGCGTGTTGCACACTTTCAATCTCTATCTGCTGTCCACTTGGGCCCGAGTCCCAACCTTCCCCCTGACCAACCCACCTCTCCAAACCTCCTTATCCACCGCGTATCATGCGAGACAAAATCCCTTTTACGCCACACCCCAACTGCCTACCAGCATCAGCCCACCAACACACCTCTCCTCCCCCCCCCCCCCCCCCCCCCGACAAAATTCCCATCAGCCAGCATGGGCCTATCGAGGGCGTGGAGAGGCGGGAAGGGGCTGGATGAACTCGTCGTAGCAGCCCTGCTCCCCATCGGACTCAAAGCACGCTCGGCACAGGTCAAAGTCCGGCAGACTGCATGCAGACAAGGGACACACACGGGGGCGGAAAGCCAGGGAGGGAGAAAGCGGGGGGGAAGGGAGGGGAAAGCGGTGGGACCAAGACACGGCAGGGTTGTGCAACATAAAATAGGCGGCGAACGCAACAAGGGCAGTTAGGAGGAGCGATACAGAAAACAAGCAAGAAAACAAAAACGGGGAGAGATGGAGACTAGGGGTACGCAGGTGGAGGGAGAGAACAGTGGAAGAGGGGGGGAGGGATGGGAAGGTGGGGGGGTAGGGATGAAGGAGAAGGGACGAGGAACTACAAAGGAACCAAGAGCAAAAGGTCAGCATGGCATGTAGACTTGCGAGAAATGAGGCAGTGCACGTGGAAGAGAGACAGAGGACGTGGAAGAGAGACAGAGCACGTACACATTGGACTTGTATCGCGCCCCAACAATAGGGCACATGCGGCACAGGTCACACTCAATCCCCTCATGCACCACCGCTCCTGCTGCCGCCGCCGCCGCCGCTGCCGCAGCTGCAGCAGCAAGGTACGCATCGTCTCCCTTCTCCTCCCCGTCTACGCCCTTCCCTTGCACAACCACAGGGGACGAAAGAGGCACTCTACCAGCGGCAGCACTGGCGGCTCCTGCTACTGCAGCCGCCCTTACATCACGAGGGGAGACAGCCCGAGCAAACAAACTGGAGGCAGCGGCAGCCGCAGGAATAGCTCCTGCTGCTGCTCCTGCCACTCCTGGCACACCCACCGCTGCTGCTGCTGGCCCTCCTGCTGCTGATACCACGGGTCTAGTAGCGTGTGGGGATAGGTTGGGGATGAGCCCAGCTTTGGCCATTGCACCGGGGCCCACGGCCACTCCTGCTCCTGCAGGGACCAGGCCGGGGACAGGCGGAGTGACAGTAAGCCTGCTTCCGCCGCTGCTGCCGCTGCCATGCAGTGCCACCATGCCGGTTGCTCCTGCTGCTTGAGCTGCCTGGACCGCCCTCCCTGCCGCGGTAGGAACTTTACCAGCAGCCAAAGAGGCACCGGCGCCGGCGACTCCTAGAGCTGGGAGAGCAGCAGCAGCAGCTGGCTCAGGGGAGAGGCCAGAGCTGGAACCCCCTGGGGCGAAGGCTATCTGCAGGAGGAGGGAGGAGCGGTTCTTGACAGCAGCGGCCACCACCGCGTTGATCTTCTCCAGCGTGACCCCCAAGAGGAGATCCGTGGCCCCGTGGTCCTCCCTGAGCTCCACACCCGACGCTGACTTCACGTGTATGTACACTCGCTCCGCGCCGATTCCCCCCTCGCCGTCCTTCCCCTCCTTGCCGCCTGCTCCGCGCCTCCTGGTGCCTCTGCTGCCCTTCTTGACTGCGGGTTTCTTCCCCAGCGGCTTCTTTTCACCGGGCTTGCCGGGTGCTGCCGTCCCGTTGGCCACTGCACCCTCCGCTCCATCAGTCTCCTTCCGCGTTGCTTCCTCCGTCTTCCCCCCATCCGCAACGCCCCTCCCACTTTCCCCCGCTTCCGCCTTCCCTTCCCCCTCTGCGGCCTCCCTTCCGTTCACCTCCCCCTGTCCTTCCCCCTCCCTCTCCCCCTCGCCCTCCCCCTCTCCTCCCTCCTCCTCCTCATCCTCTTCCTCTTCCTCTTCTTCCTCTACAGTCACACTTAGTCTGAGCGGATTGAGCTTCTGCAGGAACAAAGCGTCCTTCAAGTCCCGATCGTCTATAAGGTCAACGGAGTCGCCCTCAGAATCCCGGTAAGTCACGACTAGCCTCTCCCGCAGCACGCCACCTGTGCTGCTCCCACCACTCCCATCACTGCTACTGCTGCTGCTGCCGATGCCAAAGAGTTGCTTGAGGTGGTCGTGAAGGGTGGAGATGGAGAGATCGGGTGTGCGGCGCAGGGTGAGCCGGCGGTTGCTGCCGCCGCAGGTGGCCTGCAGGTGAGGTGTGATTATAACGGGCAGGGGAAAAGAGTGAATATAATGAGTCAACAGATGTGAATTAACACGCAGGGTTCGTCCGCCAGATGATGCGTCGACGCTCTCCGGATGCACGGATCATTCTAAGCTCAGCTCTCGACTGCCATAGGCGCATCTAGTTTTGAGGCGCCTCAAAACGGCGTGACGGGAGATAACCGATGCGCGCTGACACACTCAGCAGTGTTGGGCATTCGACGACCCGGCGACGACCCGGCGACGACCCGGCGACGACCCGGCCAGCAAGCACGGAAAAAGACGAGAGATTTCAAGCGATTGCAGGAATCGTGTCTGATCATCATCTCCCACGTTTTTTGAGGCGCCTCAAAAATCGATTGCAAGAATCACCTCTGATGATCATCTCCCACGTTTCCCTTCGTTGCTCGTCCTATCCTCTCGTGAGGAGTCTATTTTTGAGGCGCCTCAAAAATAGACTCCCATGTTTCCCTTCTTTGCTCGTCCTGTCCTCCCGTTTCATCCCGTCCCGGAAGAAGAAAAAAAACTGGCATTAATGTCGTATACAATTCTTCGGAGAATTTAAAACAGAAAAAGAAACAGAAAAGAACTGGCACTCCACCTCATTCACCAGCACTCTCAGTCCCTGGGCGACGCGAGCACGCGATCTACATTCCCAAGCAGCGCCAAAGCCCCGCGAGAATCAGGGAGAACGAAGATCGCCTTTTAGGGATCCGAGCTCACCTTTATAACGAGAATGTCCTCTACCCCGATTTCCATCTGAGAATACCCGCGTGCTCAAAACTCTAGAAAGGCTCGTGTATCGCGCCGAGATCGCGACACGGCTCCCCCAGCCAGGGAACTCCAACGGCCGCGATGCTGGTCAAGCTAACGGCCCTGATCTTGCTATGGCTGCGTGAGAGATTATCAGGCGGGAATACAAGGGCGAGAAATGCAGAGGGGTGGAGGTGGAGAGATGTATGAACGAAATGGCAGGTGAAGGTTTTCGGTACTGGAGGGGAAGGGCAAGCTGGAAAATCTGGTGGGGTGGGGAGGGGAGGGGACATTCAATTGGTTGGTGAGGAACTATTTTACTTTGGGGAGGAATATGGAAGGAAAATTTGGTGTACGGAATATGCTCAGTATTACTGGTACCGTTCCTGACTGTATCGAGGAAAAGCTTTGGTACTGTTTTGTTTTCCCGATAAAGGACTTTGCCCTCGCCTTCTCGTGCATACGTCAACAATAACGAAGTATAGCCGTTCAATAAGGGGTACGCGAGATGGATGGAGATTCGCCGTCCCTAAAAGCCCCCTCCCTCCCAAATCTGCTGGATCAGCTTCGCATTTCCTAATCCCTCAGAGCGCGCCAAGCATGATCCTGAAATGTGATGGGTGGGGGTGCTGTGCTCTGTGGTGGGGTGGTCATTCTCAGGTCATGCTGGAAAGTTTCTGGTTGTTTTAGGGTGTCCTAAAGGGGAAAACGAACGGATTTGTCTTCTGTTTCAGCTCGGTCTCTCTTTGCTTAATCGTGGTTTTGTGCGGTACAAAGTCTCTTTTGTTTTTAACATTCTTTTATTGCGGCAACTCAGAACTTGCCCTGCGCTTATGTCTGACCCCATAGAGCAATGAGCAGGAAAACCGGACAGTGACGAGACTTGGAAATGGGGGAGGTCGATTCAGGAAGGAGATTTCGATTTCGGGGGCTGGATACAGCCTAGTCGCGACTCAACACATCCCACTCCAATTTGTGGAATCAAAACCTCACTCAGAGAAGACCCAGACTTGATGTGGAGTGGTGATTAGTATACTGTGCTAGGAGAGGCTGTCTAGTCGGCAGACTCATGACCGACCGAGAAGCGTGGTCAAACCGTGCTCGGCGCATTGCATGACTCGCGACGCGGCCCAGGAGTACCAGAGAATTCGAATTCGAAGGCCGCCGTTTGCTGGCTCTAGTAGCTGAATGAACGAGACAGTGCCCTTAGTGTAGGAGAATCCGAGAAGTCCGATACAAGGTAAAATCTGATATGGTGTGAGGTGAGGAGTGGATTGTATGGCGCCGAGATTCGCACCTTGAATCGCGCTGCGAGCAGTGATTGGTCATGAGAGGCCGGTTCAAGCTAAAAACGAGCGCTTCGGTCGGCAACGGTCGCGGTGCGTCCGAGTCTGGAACCAGCCGCACCAAGCGCCCAGCCCTCTCGCTACCGTATCTTCTCGTTACAGTCACATGCGGCAGCGCTTTCATTTTATTCGCGACCGTGAGTTTGCGGCTCTCTATCCACTCGCGCTACCGCCAAGGCGCCGCCGAATCCGGCCGCTTCTTGAGTGAAGCAGAATCCCTCCCTGCCAATGATTCGACGCCACGTGTCATTAGCGACAGATTCCCGCACGGTGCAGAAGAGCTGACGTCAGCTGGTTACCAGACAGGCTCAATCGAACGATCGCCGGCGATCGTCTCAGGATCGGCCGCTTTTCCTGCTGGCGCGGGCATCAGGAGGAATGACGGGGTTGCGGGGGCTGGGGGGGGCGCGGCGGAGCTGGCCGCGGAACAGGCGGAAGGGGGAGAAGGTGGAGAGCGAGCGGAGGGGGCGGAGCGGATGGAGGATGCTGTCAGCTCGGCGGGGGGAATGGGGGCGAAACGAGGGGCGAGGGTCGCGGGGACTTCCGATGTCGGATCAAGAACTCCTAGATTTGTGACGGATTCTGGCTTCACGGTAGTATCTACGTCTTCGGGTTCCACGTCCGCGTTACAGTCAGACTCGCCATCGTATCTCTTCCACGCCGCCTCGCCGCGGACCGGGGGAAGCCTCCGCCCCCTGTGGGACGTGGGCGCGGATCTGCGCGACACTGCTGCGCTCTCCCGCGCGACGGGCGCGCAGCTGCTGGCGGAGCCGGGGGAGATGGCGGACGGGGGGGGGAGTCTCATGGACGGGCCGGAAAACTGGCTGGGCGCGGGGGCGGCGGAAGGAGATGCGGCGGAGGGGGAAGGACATGGTTGCGGAGCAGGAGATGGGCGGACGGCGGAACCGGGAGAAACGAATGGGGGGGAGGGCGAAGGGGAAGGGCGGGGGGAGAAGGGCGGCAAATGGGGGGGGAAGGGGAGTGGGGGGGATGGGAAGGGGAAGCAGGGGGGGGGGAGGGAGGTGCGGGGGGTTGTAGGGGGGAGGATGGGGGTGAGAATGGGGAGAGGGATATTGACTTGGAGGGGGAGGAGGAGATGGTGTGGGGG